TGCCGGCAAGCGACATGAGGACCTTGTTCCTACTTCTCATCTTATCGCAAATAGCGGTGGCTTGCTCGGACGACTTAAATAAGCTATCGGACGTTACTCCCAAAATTTTTGGGTAGTTAGTGGTCGGAATTATTGCACCATCGACCATGATGTTCAGAGGGAGCTTCATTTCAGCCGTCCATGTGGTGAACAGAGTGGCTGTGGATTTGGCGGCGGATATCTTCATATTCCACAGATGTAAGAACTGTACTAAATCAGCTATGTAGACATTTAACCTTTCACAGATGTCATCGATAATAGAGCCCGACGCCATGATCGTACAATCATCCGCGTACATTACGATCTCTATGCCGTCCGGTGGTTGTGGAATTTCAGAAAGGTAGAGGTTAAACAGTTCCGGAGATATGACCCCACCTTGGGGAACTCCCTGTTTCACTCTACGGGGTTTAGACTTATTGTTTCTGAATTCCACATATGACTGGCGACCACACATGTAATTGATTATCCAACGTTTCAAACTAGGCCGGAGGTTGGTCTTCTCTATGTCCTCGAACAGGTTGGCGCGATTGACAGTATCGAAGGCTTTCGATAAGTCAAGAGCCACCAAGACTGTCCTGTCGCACGGCCTGTTCTGGTTAAGTCCTCTGCTTACATGTGTGGTTATGACGTGTAATGCTGTAGTTTTACTTTGCATCCTCCGGAATCCATGTTGATGTTGAGGGACTGGAAACCTACTTCTCATCAGAGGGAGGAGTAGTGACTCAAGCGTCGTTGCTACCTGGAGACAGAAGGGAAATCGGCCTGTACGATTCACCTCTGCTGGAATCCTTGCCAGGCTTCATTAGCGGGACCACCCTGCTTATTTTCCAGGCTTCAGGAACAATGTGGGTGGCTAACGACAGGTTGAGAACAGCAGTTAAGTACTTCACTCCAGGTTCATCCAGTTGCTTCAGCATTATCATTGAAATTCCATCCGGGCCCAACGCTTTGGATGATTTAGCGTTTCGAATGACATCTGCAACATCATCCTTCGAAAATTGTGGTGGTACCTCCTCGACTCGGAGGGCTCTAATGCGACGAAGCACACTCCTTTTCGCCATTTCACTCTCGGGGTGTTCAATAAACTGCCGGTTAAAAAAACTCGCGCACCTCTTCGGATCAGTCATCGTTACGTCGTTAAACGTGACAGCCGTTCTATCATCCTTCCTTCCAGGATTCGAGAGTGACTTAACCGTTGCCCACAATTTACTGTGGTCTAGCCACTTTTTCCGCTTGTGTTCGCATACTAACCTGTTGACTTCAAGGGTGAGTTCCTTCACTCTTGGGTCTTCAGGTGTTGTACGACGAAGCTCATCACGCTCATTCGCAAGCACCGTCGCTTCTGCTGGGAAGTTTGGTCTCTTTCCTCTCACCTACCCGAGGATCTGAGAGAATGGGCAGCTCTCTGAAGCGGCGATTGGTTAAATCTCTGAAACCTTGCCAATCCGCTTTACCATGGTTCAGGAAAGTTCGGCGTTCAGAGGTTATGAAATCGGGTGGTCTATTTACGGAGACGATGATGGGGAGGTGGTCTGAACCAAGAGAAATGACGGGTTGCCAGATTACGTCATTAATCAGACCTGGTGCCACAATGGTGATGTCCGGCGAGCTGTGGCAATCTCCTCTAATTCTCGTGGGGGCATCCTCATTCACCGTGCAAAACGTGGAGCTGTCAATTTGCTCTGCCAGCGCTGTACCCCTCTGCTCATTACCTAGGACGGAATGCCAGAGTTCATGATGGGCATTGAAATCCCCTAGCACCAGACGGTTATTACTCTCCAAAAGTAAACTAATGTCGGGTAAATAACGCGGGGTACAGCTATTTAACGGCGGGATGTACACGTTAAGCACCTCTATCTCGGCAGTACCACACTTGACTGCTACCCACATACACTCCATATATGGGTCACTAGAGTCTAGCTCAAGCGAGATAGGTCTGTATTGTACAGAGTGGTGTAACAAGAAAGCAAGTCCCCCACCTCCGCTTCTAGTGCGATCCTTTCGCAACACGTTGTAACCATCGCAACGGTGCAAGCTACAGGTATCAGTCAGCTTGGTTTCCTCGATCGCGGCGACCATGATGTCATTCCGATTCATAAAGTCTACGATTTCACTGATTTTATTTCGCAGTCCATCGCAGTTAAACTGCAAAAACGATGCATTTCCTGGGCGTACTACAGCAACATGTAGTGTTAGACTCTGCGTTTGCTGTAGAGGAGACTGTGGGGGTGTCTAATAATCCGACGACGACGAAGACGTCGTCGTTGGCGACGCTGACGTTGGCGACGATGTCGTTGAAGACGAAGACGTTGACGGCGAAGATGATGAGGACATGCTGGAAGATACGCTGACGCAGCATGCAGCAAAATAACTCCTGTCACAGTAGTCCTGGAGTCGATTAAGACCCGAACAGCCGCGGAAATGTACCCATCCCATACATCTATTGCATCTCACCGACGTTGATCTGTGGTGGATGCGGTTCCAACAAACGGAACAGAACCAAGGTCCGGGGTTTATTTCTATCCCGGCGCGGACCAGAAGAGTTCGGAGCAGGCATTCCGGGATATAACGCCTCTCCCATGATGAAAAAATACGACATCAACATGTAGTAGTTGAGGTGGCAGCCCTTGGTCGAAGAATTCCTCCGATATGTTCAGTAGTATTAATAGTAGAAGTTGTATGTCATTTGCGTTTGCAGATGATATATTATTTAAAGGAGAATATGTGTTCATGGATGTGTTGCAGGCCTCGATTGATTTCACTGTTAATGTGTTAGTCTACCAATAGGCTCTCAATAAATGTCGAGAAAACCAAGGTTATGTATTTTGGCAACATGCGAGCGGATTCAATAAATGTTTCCATCTATAGTTGCTTGATAGTGGTTTGGTGTTTGATGTGCATGTTAATTCGTTAGTGTCCGGTAAACTTTATTTTACGAATGTTATACTGTTTGGAAGTTGCCCTGCCGAAAAGTATTAGGATACAGGTAGTACATGCGCTGATTATGCCTCACTTTATGTATTTTGTTGAGATTTTTGGTGGCAGCTGTGGTTTTGTCCTGCTCAAACTTAGGCTTTTATTCCACAGAGTAATGCGTTATGTGTTTGTACTTAAGTTGCGCGATCATGTTTCTTCTTATGTCAAAGAGTTTCTTGGTACTTCGTTTGATGATTTCCTTAAAATCCGATGTATGCTTTTTTCTATAAGGTTTACAAAACCCAAACTCCTTCCTCAGTAGTAGAACTTTTTTCATTCAGTAGGTCTGTGAGAAATACTCAAATCCAAGTGCCTCGTTTGAACCCGTTGTTGGAGAAGTCTTTCCATGTAAGGGTAGCTCGGGTGTTCAATAGTTTGCCACAGGTTCTCAAAATATTCAGTGTTTCGTTAAAATGTTACAAGAAAAAGTTACTTCAATATGCAGATGTTCATGGATTTTAATGTAAACCTAAGTCTATTTTTACACGGTAGATTGGTTCCAGAAGAAGCCGTGCAAAAAAAAACATTGATCTTATACATAAAGGGGAATTCACTTAAATCTCTAAGCTAGTGTTCGGAAACTATTGATGGTTTCAGACTTTTTTCTTTCATAAATACTTTTTTGTGATATGAACATACTTCGCAAAAATTAAATTTGACAAAAAAAATTTAAGTACATAAAATTTAAAATCGTGCTAAATGGAATAAAATCGTCTAAAAAATTAAAAATACTCAGTTTTTTTTTAACTTTAAATTTTTAAACCGTGTTGTATTAAACCGTGTACAAAAAGACCGTGTAAAAACAGACTTAGGTGTATATATTTTGTTAAATATTTATAGATGATTTATCCTATGCTTAGTTTCATATATTTTCATTTTTCATATTTTTGATTTGAATTTATGAATTTATTAATAATTAATCGTTATTAATTTTAAGCCTTTGGAGTAGTTCATGTATTGTTGTTTATGATATAATTAAGTGATATACTGTTAATTTTAAGCTTTTGGAGTAGTCCATGTAAAGAAGTTTTGGGAATCGCTTATGGCCCTTTGGGCTAGGTTCTTGTTTATGAAATAAATTGAATTGAATATATAGAAATCGACTGAAACTGTAGTATTCTAGCAGTGTTATTAGGTTTGTTCATTTACTCCAAAATTTGTACAAATTATTACAAAGAAGTTTTGGGAATCGCTTATGGCCCTTTGGGCTAGGTTCTTGTTTATGAAATAAATTGAATTGAATATATAGAAATCGACTGAAACTGTAGTATTCTAGCAGTGTTATTAGGTTTGTTCATTTACTCCAAAATTTGTACAAATTATTACAAAATGTTGTTCGTTTACCCAAAAGTCCAGTAAAAGAGAGTGAATTGAGAGAACAGATGTAATAATTGTGTTACTGAGTATCTGCAAATTCTTACAAGGAAAATTTATAAATTACATTAATTTTCCGCTTGTTATCTACTTTTCTAATAAAAATACTGCTTTTTGTTTGTTAGCTAAATTGTTTGTTTTTTTTTTTAATCAGCTACAATCATTTTACTGGATGTTGCTCGTTTACTTTTCTTGAAAACGAAAAATTCGTATATATTCTCTGCAAATTTTTATGGAGCAAATGTTTCTGGGAAAGTAAACGAACGAAATTTTTATTTTTTGTTGTTCTTTTAAAAGGACGGCAGCACGAAGTTAAAGGGAATAAAATAGCTGACGAGCTACTGAATGCTACTGAAAATGTAAATGTCTTGTCGAATTATTGTTGAATTCCAATGCTGTTGCAGTGTCCTAACTGAAGTAAACAAATCTTGATACCATAAACTGTGGTATATAAATGATTTGCATAGTATTTTCAGATGCAATTAATGTAATACGGTGTTATCTAGAATACGAGAAATTAGATCTAACAAATCAAGAATACATCAAGAAAACAATTATAAATAACTCCATTCATAAATTTGATTAATAAATAAGTATAATCAATCAATTACCGTAAAATTTGCCGCAGTATTAAAATCTTCATCCAAATATATACGCACGATATTTAAGTCTTGCATTGTAGAAGCCTCACACAATAGTTTTATAAATTCTTGCACGTGTTGAGTGGATTTTTCGTAAGTTTTGCCACCTACTTCTTGTAGATGTAATGCCAAAAATTGTGGTTTGATTTCGCATACTTTCTGCAAGAAGGCTTCCAACCAAGGTTGTAACAATCGTGTGGGCTATTAAAAAATACAGGAATGATTTTTATTAAATTGTAATTGAAAATTTCAACATGCTTACATCTTCGAACAAACTTCCTACGTTAGCCGTCACCAACAGCGTATATATTGGACCACCTGTCCCAATTGGGATCCCCGAAACAGTGGCGTCCATAATTTTAATTAGTTCTACTATTTAAAGCCGAAACATTCTTTACTTCGCGAACAAGTATTTCAGCATATTCACATATGCTGTCCCTTTGAAACTGAAAGGAATAAAACTTATCGTTTATGTGAATTTTTTTCACACATTTAAGTACTTTCTATTTGTCTATTTGTATATTTTAATCCAATTAATGTTTTGTCGTCGTTCGTACTCTGAACCGGCCGAAATTAGAAACGTTCCACCTGCTACGAATATGAGAGAAAGGTGAGAGTGCCTAATAAAAAGGGAACACTATGCAAAATGGCCGATAATGACCCTTGTTTACGAATGTGGTGTGATGGACACGGACATTGTCCAATGTGGCAACACATAACTTGTATTCATTTTCCGTTGTATTTATTTTAAATTTTTCAACACATAAAAAATATCAAGGCCTATATAGTCCCAATTTAGATTAGGTAAGTCTTTTTTTGTTCGTAACGACAATTTTCTGGCAATTCGTTTTGTGTATTTCGTGTCAGTAATTTGAAATACCCATCCAGAACATATTCGGTTAGCGTATTTTTGATTGCTGTATTCATATTTCTATTATTTTGTTTAATGTTCTTTCAATTTCTGCTTATTGCAAGTAATATACCTAAAATGTTCATTTACATTTATTCGGCATATACAATGGAACTTTTTACCGGGTTAACCTACTTTATAAGGATTTATTTGACATATATGCAAAGGAATTGACAATTGAAACCCACTGGGTTAACGAAATCCGGTTAAATGTAAACGTACTATTAGTATTAATAAGACAAGAGCTTAGGTTAGGGATGTACGGTTGTTGTAACAACCGTCCACTTGGAGACTATGTCCATTGTGATCATCCTTTATATATATGTATATCTATAAAGAAAAAGAAAAGAGATAGTGGAAGAGTAGGGAGAAAAGATAGTGATAAAGAAGGGGGCGGAAGAGTGATTATTTTAGCCAAGTCAATTGTTTGACAAAGCCTGTTATGTCCTGTCGTTATGTCAATGTCGTTATGTCCTACATAGACGACAGTAATCCTCTCCACTGGAGTCCCACTTAGAAGTGAGAGATATAATTTTGCAGTGACCAATAATCGCCATCTGTTACTACCTCGCAATGGAACGCACGGATTCTGCCAATGAAATATCTGAGGGGTTTCACGATCTCTATATCATTCAGAGCGGTCTTACAATCATGAACTGCTTTCGAGTTTATAGTATGCGACTTCACCGCTTTCAGGGCCGCCTGACTATCGACATATGTAAGGTTCGTTCGTTTACTTTCCCAGTAATATTTACTCAGTAAGAATTTGCAGAGAGTAAATACGAATTTTTCCTTTTCAAGAGAGAAAACTGCAAGTAAGTAAGTAAGTAAAAATTTATTGAGACTTTTTTCCAGATTACGATAACATTATATGTTTGAACTTATCGATAACAATGTTAAATTACGGAACTATAATCGTTTTGTTCTGTTGCACAGTGATATTCGTACAGGCTACATGCCAAAAGGAAAGTGTAATAAAAACAATGATGTAAACAAACGTGATTATTTTTTTTTTAAAGATTTGCTCCCAATCTTTCAAATTACTTGCAGAGCGAATTGTCTGCAAAAATCTTACAAATAGTTAACACTTATAACTAAAATAAATAAAAACAATTCGTTATGTTATTGACTAACGATGAACATAAAATAAACAAAATAAAGTACATACGTACAAATTAAAAATTGCAATAACGAAAGGCGATTTGCAAATAAAAACAGTGATCGCAAAAGTATGCTGCTTATAAATTTTCGATACCTTATGACAAAGGAAGTGACATACACAATAAAATAAGGTACTTTTGTGGGAAATCTTAAGCCTAGTAATGTAAATATCACAGATTTGTTGTTTAATACTATTATCCCCTGTGCATTCCAGGTATTGTCTTGCTGAAAAAGTTTGGTGTTGAATCTTGCCCCGAATCATTGTCAAATCTTATGTTTATGATACCTATAGTAGAAAGGTAAGCAGCTTCTGTCCAATTTGTATTTTCTTCAGCAGTAAATAATTCATTCAACAGAATGTTGTCATGTGCAGCTAAGTTTTCTACAAATCTTCTTTGCAGGTTTAGGGCATAGCTGCAAAATGGAACAATATTGGCGGAGCTGTAAATGTACTGGTTGGAGAATCTTTTAGTTGGATTTTGAAAGTTTTGGCCAACACATTTTCTCAAAATTTTCCTCTCAAACGTCTCAATTTCTTTAGCTACAGATGGCGAAATGGTGAACCAAATTGGGAATCCATATCCAATAATTGGCCGGATTGCAACTTTATAAAGTAGCAGCTTAGTATTTTGCGGCAGATAAGTATTGCACATTAATGTGGACAAACGTCCAGCAGTTATCTTGGCCTTTTTCAATGATGCTCTGGCGTGTTCATTAAATTTAAATAATTTATTTATATGTATTCCCAAATATTTGAAGGAATCTCTGAATGGAATTTCAATGCCATCCAATGAGAGATGCAGTTTCTTCGCTTCGGGAACAACGCTTCTATGACATTTCCCAGATGCATTTCTTATACATATTGCTTCCGATTTAGCTGCATTTACTGTGATTCCCCATGTTTTATAATATTTACTTATATCGCCAAGGTGAAGAGCGGCTTGCTTTAAGGCTTCAGTAGGTGAGTTATGGTGACTATATACTAAGCAATCGTCAGCATACAATATGGCTTTTGAATGTTCTGTTTGATGGGGGAAGTCGTGAAGGAAAAGATTAAATAGAAGGGGCGACAGGACACTGCCTTGAGGAACTCCACTCGATATAGATCCAAAACTGGACAGACAATCATTAATTGTGACTGTAAATTTCCTATCTGTCAAGAAATTTTGTAGAATTTTGATTAAGAATGGGTCCACACTAAGTTGTATTAATTTGTAGATTATCCCCTTGTGGTACACAAAGTCGAACGCCTTTTGAATATCAAGGGAAATCGCTATCGTGCAGATCTTTTCTCTCAGGTTACCTGTTATGTCTTCACGAAACTTCAATAATGCGTGATTTGTTGAATGTGCCGCTTTAAAGCCAAATTGCCAGTCGGAAATCGGATGTATCACAAACTCATTTTCTAATTTTTCCCGTAAAATTCTCTCAAAAACTTTTCCAATATTGGATAACATAGATATTGGACGGAATTCTTGAGGTGTCATACTGTTTATTTTCTTCTTGATTGGTATAATTTTTGCAGTTTTCCATGACTTAGGGAAGTATCCATTGTTCAAACAGTTGTTAAATATAATTGTTAAGAATTTCAACGATTCATCAGAAAAATTCTTTAGTACATAATTTGAAATCCCATCCAAACCGGTTGATTTTTTTCTATTCAAACTTACAATGTGCGTTTTTATGGAAGATACATTTGTAAAGTGGTAGTTGTCTGAATTGTGTAATGAATTAAATCCATCATCAAATTCTAATTGGGTTTAAATAACTTTGTATTCGGGATTCAATGTTAGGTGGTGGTAACTCTGGAGTGTTCTCACAGAAAGTGTTGCTGTAATAGTCATGGAAGGCGTTTGCGATCTCTCTACCAGTAGTAAAAGCCACATTATCTATCCGTAGCTGTTGGCAAAATTGTGCTTTAGATTTTCCAATTAGTTTGTTGACTTGTTGGAAAGCTGATGGACTGGGTTTTATATTTTTTAATTTAGAGTTAAAAACTTTAGCCTGCTCTTTGTAGACAAGGTCCCTTATAATGTTTTTGAGTAGCTGTATCTGTTTGGACAATATATTATATTCATAATTTGTTCTATTGCCATTTCGGTGAAATATTTTTTTTAGGTCCTTTTGCCATTGATCTTTGATTTTGTAAAACCTCTTGATATTTTCAGGTAAAAGGATTTGGTGCTTTTTAAATTCAATTGTTTTGCAGTGCTGTTTTTGTATGTTATGAAAGGTATTTTCAAATATATTTATGCAATTGTCAATTTCATCATTAACAAGATTTCTGTTTGCAGGTGGTTAAATGGATTCTAATGCAGAATCAAACTGTCGACGAAACATACTCCAATCCGTGGACTTATAAGAAATAACCACTCTGGGAGTTTTGAGGATAATACCACCTGTATTGAACGAGATATCCAATTTAAGGGGGTAATGGTCAGAAAATGGGGGAATACTGGTTATTCTGTAGTTGCCTGCATCAGTATTTATTAGATTTGGGCTGACCAGAAAGTGATCCAAATAAGATGGTCCATTAGGATATGAAGGAGAAGAGTCACATATTCGAGTAACGTCTGTGGCATTATCAAGCAACCAATTGTAAAGTGTCCTTCCATTGGTGTTGTCCATTATATCACCCCATGTCGTGTGCCTAGAATTAAGATCTCCTCCAAAAATAAATCCATCATAATTATTAGTAAACTGCAGACAATTATTTAGACCATTGATTAATTGTTGTGTGTTGAAATTGGTTGAGATATACAGTGAACCTAGTAAAAATGTCTGCATTGAATTGTTCCTTTTTGTCTCAATCTCAATAAAGACTGCATTAAAATTTATATTCTCAACTGTCGTTCGCTTGTAATTGATGTCGTCTTTTAAGAGTACTGCCACGCCAATGTTTGAGTAGTCATATAAAAATGTGTAACCCTTCATATAAACTTTTTTATTTCTTCGAAGATGGCATTCTTGGATAAATGCAATATCAATTTTGTTTTTGGAAAGATATTTATGTAGCTCGATCTGACGACTGCGATCCACAAGAGATCGAACATTGAAGGTTAAACATTTTAAGAACCTATGGACCATAAGTATCCTTAACTTTTTTTAAAAGACGCATGAATTCGTCTTTAGCTTTACTCTTTGACATATTGTTGAATTCTGACAGAAATATGTTTATTTCTTGCTCTAGGGTTAGTTCCTCTGGTTGCAGGAAAATATTTGACAATTTTAAAAAGTCGTTAATAATTGATGGTTTACTACTATGGCTCGTTGTAGGATGAAAATGACTTGCAAATGTTTTATCTGCTGTAACACGATTGTTGGACATGATATGACTTACATTTTCTTTTGCTGCTTTTTTAATGTTTATCGCATTTTGAATGCGCTCTCTTCTCTTAGCTGCATATTTTTTAAATACGGGACAACCTCTCCAGTTTGCGGTATGTCCATTAGAACGGCAATTGATACAATATGGATCAGAGGAATCCGACTTTGATCTCTGGCATTCTCCTGGTGCATGTTTCTGGTCACATTTTACGCAATTATATTGAGAGCCGCAGTTTTTGGCACCTGCGACATTGTATTTGACCATGTGAGCGATTGCTTATGTAGATATTTAATATGTGAAATATCGCTTAATGATTTACCAGGATTAAGCGTCACCAAGAAAAGACCAGTATCCAAATTATTTTTAATTGATCTGGAAGTTTTGAATTTTGATACCTTGGAAATAACTTCGGGCAATACTTCATCCAAGGCATTTTTGACATATTCAGCTTCAACGCCATGACACAGTCCCCTTAATATAAATGACACCTGCTTTAATTCTTTTGGTGTAAAGGAGTATGCGTGAACAGACTTTTCACGAAGAGTCTCTAGCATAGCAGTGTGGGCTGTGGGATCAGAGAGATATAATTTGCATTTATTTGTACCAACATTTTTTATTTTGAAATTAATTGGTGGCGACTTATCCTCTAATTGTTTAATTAGGCGTAGGACATTAATATTATATAAAAATATTGGTGGGCAAAAAGATGTCTTTTCTTTTTGAGGTGACTGTTTTGGATCAATGTTATTGGTTTGCGGTGCTTGTTGAATATTTTCAAATTCCAGATCTGCAAACATTGCATACCTGTTCTGGTTATTGGGATCATATTTAAACCCCGATATGTCTACATCAGTTGGTGGTGTAACGTCCTCTAACCTTAGACGCTTGCCATAATTGTTGTTTTTGTTTAAGCCATTGGCTGAAACTGGCTGCTGATTATGTGATAAAGGTCTTCCTTGTTCCATTGGTGCTGTTGGATTTGTTGCAGGTATCATCAGAGTGGGTGACATCTGATAGAATACCTGCTGGGCAAGATAAATTTTCAAAAATGATTTTCAAAGATTCACGAAATGTAGGAGCGCTTAAAAAATTCAACCAAACGATTAGGGATCTACCGCTCGAATCTCAAGCCCCCAGAAGATTCGAGAAAACTGCAAAAAGTAAACGAACAACATCCAGTAAAAAGATTGTTTCGACACAGCTGATTAAAACAACAAACAAATTGGCGCAAACTATAAAACAGCATTTTTATTAGAAAAATGGATAACAAGCGGAAAATTGATGTTGTTTGTTCCCCATAAACATTTAAAAGGGTTGTGACCTTTTATTCCTGTATCTGCAATTGATATGGGGATGGACATAACCGATGGTGTTCCAGACATGTTAGGGATGCACACTTTTTTGTTTCGATTTGGAACCTAAAAAATCGTTCGCCAATTACTCTTATTTTTAAATACTTGCGTTTTCTTCATCCATTTTGGTATTTAATGATACAAAACCAAAATAAAATTCACAAAACAATCAATTTTCTTGAGAACAATTTTTTGCTTGTTTACAAAACATAACAAAACAGCTGATTAAATATCAGCTGATGGTACAAGAAAATTCTTACTGAGTAAATTTTCCTTGTAAGAATTTGCAAATACTCAGTAACACAACTGTCAAATCTGCTCTCTCAATTCACTCTCTTTTACTGGACTTTTGGGTAAACGAACAACATTTTGTAATAATTTGTACAAATTATTGAGTAAACGAACGAACCTATAATCAACGGTCCCGTGATGTCGGCATTAAGTGCTTTTACTATGTCGGCCGCTTTCGTGATTGCGAGAATCTCTGCTTGAAAAACGCTACAGTCACTGTTGAGTTTATATGAGTTGTGTATACCTAATTCCCTACAGTAAACGCCTGCGCCTTCCTCCATCTTAGACCCGTCTGTGAAGATTAATAGACCTGGCAGAGGTAGGGAGCCACTAGTCCAGGATTCCCTACTAGGAAATTCAACTTTGATGTCATTAAAGTCCCTATGGGGGAATATAATCACTGATATGACTATCCCCCTAAAGAGATCATAACCTGGCGTTATGTTTAGGATGCTGGCATGACCATAGTTCAGCGATTTCAAGGCATCTGTTTCCCGGAGTCTCAGGGCACACCTGGCCGCCTGGAATTTGATCAGAATATCCAATGGTTGGAGATTCAAGATTGCGTTCAAGGCATGTTCGTCTGGAAGTAATTACTTTGTTATGGATGAAACAAACATTTTATGGTATTCTCCACTGGATTTTGGGAAGAAATCCTAACCTTTCATTCATTTTTCGCGTTTTTAGTTTTGTGTTGAAAAATGTCAAATAAACACAAACACTTGTTGCATATATTTATTTCATTTTTGGCAGAAGTTGATTTTTTGTTATTCACCTCAAGCTGCCCTACCTTGTATTATTGTACCATGCCCATCTGCCTGCTGGGAAAGTTTGAGGAAGCAAATCTTTGTTCATGGAATAACTCACAATTCCCAGCATTTTCATATGTGTTACACATATAAATAGCAATATATTATTTTGAGGATTCGAAAATATTACATTTTCAAAATAAATATAACCGGGTTCCCCTACCCGAACTTTTGAGTCAAATAACCGGGTAAGTCCCCCAAGAAAAAAAGATACCCCCATAATTAGGGTAAAAATACCTACCACTGAAAAAAATTTCAGAAAAATCTGATCGTTTTTACTAACCTAGAGTTAAGCATTTTAGGGGTCCAGAGTTGAGCGTGTGCCAGGAACTTTTACCGGTCAACATAGGCGTTTATCTCTGTTCATTCTGTTTTTTTTCGAACGTTCCCACGCCTCACTTTCCCACCCCTGCCGACCGAGGGGGCGACCTCCCCTTTCGTAGGGATCGCGTACACACCATAATCCGCATCATGGTGGAATGTGAGAAGGGAATAGAAAACCAGCAACAGAATCTACTCCAACAGCCAGTTTATTATTAAGTTGCACTACTCATTTAAAAATACAACTATATTAGATTTTATAAATTCAACATTCTTGCTAAAATCTACATTAGAGTACACAGAATTAAAATCAATACAAATACAATACAATCTCCCATAGAATAATTTGTGCGATGAAAATCAAATTTGTTCAAATTTAAATCCATACAATTTAATCTACACCACTGAAAAAGGTTATTTAAATCATTTTGGAGTAAAATGGATTGTTTCTCAGAATTATGGGTAATGAATAACTTGACATCTGCATACATTAACAATTTAGAATGTACTACAGAAGTTGGCAAATCATTTATAAACAATAGAAAAAGAACCGGCCCGAGGTGACTTCCTTGTGGAACACCTAAAGTTACGTTAATGGATTTTGAGAGACATCCTTCAAACAAAACTAGCTGTGATCTATTTTGTAAGTAAGATGATATCCATTTGACTAAGTTTATACTGAAACCCATATTATCTAATTCATATAATAAGAGTTCATGGTTAACCCTATCAAGAGCTTTACTAAAATCTGTATAAATGGTATCAGTTTGATTTCGCTTAACAAATCCCTTTATTACAATTGAAGTAGACTCTATAATATTTGTTATAGTTGAAAGACCACTACGAAAGCCATGTTGATATTGACTTAAAATCGATTTAATTTTGTGAGAAATAACAGCAGTAATTAATTTTTCAAACAATTTTGTGACTGATATATTTTTAATAAAATATATTCTGTAGTACTCGAACAATCGATTTGATGTAATAAATGCCCATATAAATCGATATTACCTCACATACTGCAAAAATACTGAGGCCTTCTTCAATAAAGGGTTTCGAAATCGAATCGTTCCTTTAGTTTAATTCCTCTTTTGAGCTTTTATTTCAAATATTTATTTATTTTAAGATTTTTTTATTGTTTTCTACTAATTCTAGAAATTTCTGGTACATTCGGACCTTTATTTTCTATAATAAGGACAATTTTCGAATGTTATGTGTACTGTACAAATTGTTGCCAATTTTGATAGATTTTACAGATTTTTTTTAAATTATTTATCAGTAAATGATTTTTTCGGTGCTTAGTTTACAAAATTTAACAAATTTATGGAGGTTTTTTTAAATATTTTTAAAAAAGAGGAGTAAAGTAAAAATATTACACAATGTTTTAATTATGTGGCCACATCAATGTCGATGTTTTTTCATGAAAACAGTTGTTTATGGAAAATTGCTTGCAATAATTTTCTATTTTCACACTAAATCTCTTAAGTGTTAAGAATTAAAAAAAATAATAATTATTCAAACGAATCGTGAGCTGATCAAAAAACATTTTTTTACCACAGTTGAGGTTATTATTACGTAAACACCACTGTATATATATTTATTGCTAAAACCAAATAGGCATACTTCCGTCGCAAATTCAACATGTATAATACAAATTAGGTTGTATATAGAATTTAGTTTAAAGTCGTTTATTCGAACAAAATTATTTATCAAAAACTTTTTAAAATTCACGTTGTAGGATTCGATTTTTTTCACGATGATTTTTGGTAACAGTACTCATTGAATTGTTGCATTCACCTAGCATGTTTACACTTTTAATATTTTTAGTTTTGGATATCGAAACTACAGGAACTGTTGACAATCTCGTTTTGTTGTAGTTAATTCCATATTTCGTTTCAGCATTACAAGCTCCCAATGTATCAAAAAGTTTAGCTTTCGCAATCACCATCCCAGCATTATCCGTCCTTAGTCGATTAATCGATGCTCGACCACAGTCCTCATTAATTGTCCCAGACATTTTAATACGACTGACAAATGGCACTTTACTTGTCGATGCTGCTTTAGTGGTTCTTTGTTTTATTACTTTGGGAGATAATGTAGAACTGTCAAAAGAAAATATGTTGGCAAAATCATCTTCTCTTGAATGATCTTTTTTCTCGACATTCGCCAAATTACAATCAAGCGAAACTTTACCAAAAAAGTGTTCTCCCGGTACCCACATCTCCACATTGCTAACATGGGTTCTATCTTCCATGTTTTTCTTTGGGGTATCAGGAAAATGCTCAATATGTCCAAAACTTTTGCGAGATCGCTTTAAGTGTACTCGGGAATTTCTATTCGAAACTCTTTCATTATTATTTGTATTAAAGGGTTCGCCTTTTTTTAACATAGCCGTTTCTCTACAACGTCGTATGCTACCAATTTTTCGGGCACTTGGAGAGCGTGAATCTACGTTGCACGTACGTCGTAGGAGTTTTTGTTCCCTATTTAATATGTCACCTTTTTGCAAGGACAATGATTCTGTCTCCATTAAAATCTGTTCGTATTGTATTTGTATATTTTCAAGATCATTACGTTTAGGTTGCTCTGAATCTTTGCTGCTATTGTCAATATGTTTGCTACTATTATTATCGAACATATTTTCTTCATTTTTTTCTGGTTTATGTTCTTGAGAACATCGCCGAGATATAATCGTCATACTTTTTAGTGCTGTAGGTGTATTATTGTGTATAGTAGTTGTAGTATTATTTTTTGGCACTTTTGGCCTATCTTCTTCATTTGTGGGTTTTTGCCAACCAGTACCCACAACTACGCTCCATCGTCTTTCAATAGATGATACAAGTTTTTGTTGGTTTGAATCTACATTCTTTTGATCATGGCTTAAGCTCGTGCGGTGCTTTGTAGACTTCCTAAAATTCAGATAAAAAAATAAATAATTTATTACCATTTTTTATTTAAATATACCTATGTACCTATGTAGTTATTAGAAAATATAAAACGGAAATATTTTACCAAATAATAATTTACAAAATATATTTTTTATGGACTATTTATGATTACCACCAATTTTTTATATATCATAAAAAATCATTATTTGCATTTAATTCAATCTGTTCGGAATTAAATGCAAATATTGAAAGACAAACTTAATTTGTGTATTTTGTTTTAAATCCTACCAAGGTTAAATGGAACTGCTTCTAAATGATACCATGGATTCATGGGGTTTAGCTTATAAATTAACATACTATCACATTTTGGTGAAATAGAAATGTTAATACTTACCTTGTTAAAGGAGTATTCGGCAAAAACCCACCACTATTGTTTGGAAGAAGAGCCAACAAATCTCTCCTAAAATAGAGCAGGGAATAATATAGGTAAATTCGTTGAGTAAAATTCACTTACTTCTTTTTCAGGCTAAACGCACTCATTGGTTCAGGAAATTTTCGTTTTTTCCTTGACTTACTGCAAGGTGTGCTTGGAATAATAATGGCGTCGGATATATGAATTTCTGGATCGGCATTAGTAGTCTTTTGTACTTTCCTGTCCAATTCTTCTGTGCTTCCGATAGTGGAACCGACCATTTTTTTAAAACCATTGAACATGTCTGAAACCATTAAATACAAATATCAGGCAATTTTTGATATTAGTTCAGATTTGTTACGTGTTAACGAACCGCTGCGTCTCTTCTGCTTTTTCTTACTATTTGGAAGGTTGACAATCGAATTTGCAGATGATGTACAAGATGCAATTTCAAATTCAGGGTTTGTATTTATTTGTAGTTTGTTCGATATATGTAAGGGAACTATACCAATTGAATTAGCATTTTCAATTAGAATTTGAACCACTTTAAGGTGATTTATAAAACGACGACTATTTATATCTCCAAATGGCATTAGCCCCGGTGTAAGTATAATAGCCAAATTTTCAGTAGACATCTTGTTGACAGACTGGCTTAGGGAAACTGTGTATAGAAACTGCATGAAAAACCTTAAAGTGTTTATCGTAAGAGTTGGTAGAAGAAGGCAAGCTAACATTATAGCCTTTTCATTGTTTTCGCCAATTATCAAAGCACGTAACATTGTCTCTTGTATAAATGTCGGTATTAAAGGTTCAGGAAGTTCTCGAAAAAAATATTTGATGACATTTGCGACGTCTATAACATGATGTGTTCTGCCAAGCGGCATACCATTCTCCAAGATGACCTGTTCCAAGAAAATGTATCAACGTATTACTAATTGCTCAAACATTAAATAGTTGGTTAACTATATACCTATAACCACATTTAATATACTTACCCGAATTTCTTTTTGCCGTAAGGTCGACCCAGCTTTCCTAAATATACCTTCAGTTTCAACTTGCTCCAATATACGATTAGTTGCATCGGCAACAAATTTGGGAATTTGAACAACACTTCCATTTGCGAGAATAACATCACACAACTCTAGGAGGTGAAGCGGTGTCCGAAAAATACGTTTGGAGTCGCATACTTTGTTTTGCGAAGTTTTGTATTTTTCCTTAAAGCATTTAATGCCCAACGATTTTAATTCACTAATAACGTGTCTACGCAGTTCTTCCTTATTCTGTATAACGTTGAAGTCCATATTATTATTCCATTTAAAAACACAGGAAGAGATTCGATTAAAAAATAGTTAGAACCCTTCAAAATACAAATCGTTCCGCCAAACGAGCCATACATCAACTTCGAATGAAGGAAGGAAGAAAGAAAAATTGCGATAAATGTAATGTATAAGAAAATGTCAAAAAAATTGTTAGGGTTACCTAAGTCGTCATTATACCATGTTTGCATGACTGTTTAGGCATTGCTTGTTATAGCGCATTTACATACGCATTTTATATGATGTGGATTTACGAAATCCTGAAAATAAATTAAGGTTATTTACACTGGTTTTGAGATCATTTCAAATGACTATCAGCTGGTATATGTTTACATACACACTCTCACACTTGCTTACAAAAAAATGTTATCACGAATTTTATGATAAAAATTCATATGATTTTAACTCAAATATGTATTGGAATTTGATACTTATAATTTTTTTATCTTCCCAAATACGTATTTTCGGGTTTCCCTTGATTGAAGATGAAGAGAAAACGAAAACGATAAAATCATTTCAGCAGCTCAGTGCACATATCGGTTAACTCCATAAAATGAAAAGTTGAGAAATCCGATGATATATGTTGTTTTTAGAATTCCTTTAATAATATGAATTCAACTATATAATGTAGAATGTATAATGTCGATAATTTATATTAGTCAGAAAAGTTATTATAAGTATAAGTAAAAGCGAATTTACATATAACATCTAATCATGATTAGAAGGTGAATCAGGGTTTATTTTCTTAATCGGGCTGAATTTACCATGATTTACCATACAAAATTAAATCATCGTGCGGCATGGTTTATTTTAAATCATGATCGAAATCATGATACTACTGAGATGCAACGCGGTTTTTGTGCGAAAAAATACAACTCTCTCACAATGTACCAAAATTTGCAACTGTTTTCACATGTTGTTTGTTTTTAAATTTAACGGTTACCAAATACAAAAATTAAATAACAATTATTTATAGAATTTTTGTGTTTTTCTTTGTTTTTTTTTTTAAATTTCCAAACGATCGCACCATTGCAAAAACATTTCCATTGTTGTAATTCTTCGTTTCATGTTCAAATTGCAAACAAATATTTTTGCAGCAAATTGATAATTTTGTATGTATACTAACAAATATCAGCTGATCCGTATTTAGATCATGATTAAAGGTATGTGTAAACAATTAGGGTGTATTTCTGGATTTCGTTAATCGAGTCGATTTAAAATCGTATATGTAAATGTACTTTAAATCATTGTGCGGCAGGGTTTATTTTTAATCATGATCAAAATCATGATACTACTGAGATACGACGCGGGTTTTGTACGAAAAAAATACAACTCTCTTACAAAGTACCAAAATGTGCAACTGTTTTTACATGCCGTTTATTTTTAAATTTAACGGTTGACAAATACAAAAATTAAAGATCAAAGAAAATTACAAATTATTTATAGAATTTTTGTGCTTTTAGTTCTTTTTTTACTTTTGCATCAAAATATTGCAAAAAAATTCCATTGTGGTAATTCTTCTATTCTTTTTCAAATTGCAAACAAATATTTTTGGCACAAAATAATAATTTTGTATGTATACTAAAAACATCAGCTGATCGGCATTTAGATCATGATTAATGATATGTGTAAACAATTAGGGTGTATTTCTGGATTTCGTTAATCGAGTCGATTTAAAATAGTACATGTAAATGTACTTTAAGTAACTTTGATATTTAATTTTAATATATTTTAAAAAGTGAGTTAATCTATTTTCACCGAACGACTCATTTAATGAGAACAGTTGCAACTTTTAGTACTTTTTGGCACAAAAACAGGATTGTATAGCATAATACGGTGTTTTAGTGCTTTGATTAAAATAAATGACGCTGGAAACATTTATATTTGTATGGTAAATGACGCAAAATTGTGTGGTTTTTAGGAAATTAATGACGCAAATCCTAAATCCTGATGATAACGTTTAAAATCGTTTGAAACAGCTCGTGAGCGGAGCTGATATGGCTTCATACGAAACAACAATATTAACTTTTTACTCCTTCCTTATTTGGGAATTTCTTTGAGCTTATGATCTATTCCATCAACTTGGGCAAGCGTGGGTAGTGATCTTAAGCCTTCAGTGTTCGCTAAAGGAATCAGAGTGACTTTATTGAAATTTGGGTTTGCTTAAGTACTACATTTGAGAAGCGAGATTCTAATGTAGTATTGGTCGTATAATAATGTAGTGATATCAGTGATGTAGTTTTTGGTACTATTTACAAAATATTTACATAGTTAACCGTAAATTTCAAATGTTTAAAACAGAGTTGCATTTAAATATGTAAAGCATAAATAAACGTGTTTACGCTATAAAAATAAAATACATAAATGGAGTTCAGATAAAAATAAATAAACTAATTCAAAATAGAGTTGATACGTTTCAGTCTCCCCCTCTGATGCTGAAATCGTCCCGATGATGCATCAGTAATAAAGGGTTGTGAAATCTGATAGATGCTAAGTAGAGCTGTAGTGTTTGTGAAGATGGCGTTCTCGTTGTCATAATGTGTTCCTATAAGTTTGTACATCTGGTAGTTTCGCTATACGCCTTCGGTTTCTCCCCCTAGAGCAGAACTGCGTACGATGGGGTACATGGTGATTTGACACAATACCATATTTCTTTGGAACTTCATAATTTTCTCGAACCATGCGTATCTCGATGCTGTACAGTGGAGTGAATATGCTATCTAGATATTCATCTCCTTCTTTTGGACGTGCCTTGACTGGTGGTCCAAATAGTCTAGATATGTTTCCCGGAGTTGTCTGATCAGCTGGGATGGCACCACGAAATATGTCTTGAATAGAATGAGGAGAGTATTCGTTGTTCTTCTGCATACTGGACGATGATGATACTTCAGCAGGAACAATGCTTGCGAGAGGAGAGGGATGAAGATTTTGGATTTCCCGCAAGACTCTAGGAGTTGGTGGTAATGGAGACACCTTGTTCTGACCTTCTACGAATTCGATGAACTTCTACATTCCAGTAACGGCTTGATTTGTAGGTGAATATTCATGGCCTTGCACATCTATAGAATAGGCTTGCATCTCCAACGGATTGGTGAAAGAATATCTGGTTTTGGGATCATCCTCGAAATACCAATATCGTTGAGCCATATTCAATGAGATGCCAGATTGCTCCATAAAATCTGCACCAAGAAGTGTCCTATTCCTCGTTGCATTCGGGAGGCAGACAAATCGAATCTTGCGTTTTCTCTTTCCAATAAGTATGTCGCATATTGTAGCTTCTACGTTTTCAGTCGTTGACGAGCCATCTGCCAAGCTAATATCTGCTCGTACCTTTTGGAATCTGCAACCATTTTCTCTCAGTATGTTTCTCAAATTCATGCTAGCAACACTAATTTTTGCGCCGGTGTCGAAAACAGCTTCTCCCAATAAACCAAACACCTGGACATGAGTTGTAGGAGGAGCGCGACCAATAGTACCAGCGGCAATGGTGTTGAATGAAAGTGGCTGAGGGCTGTCCTTGTTGTTGTTGCTACATGTAGTGCAATTCGCTCTATATACACCAGGCGCACCACATCCATAACAAGCAACCGTTGGTTTTCTCTGCTGCACATTTTGAGCTGACGTCTGCGGTCGCTGTTGTTGCTGCGAGTCTTGCTGTTGTTGTTGTTTTTCTTCTTGTCGTTTTTTCAGTCTCACACAGTCATGAACTTTATGATCTGTTGATCGGCAGAAATGGCAACGGACAGATTTTGTTTCGCTTTTCTGCTGCCAAACACGATGTTTATTTGAATGTCTTCGGTGACAGGTACCTTTAGCTGTGAAAATAGCAACCGTTTTTTGCAGATGAAAGTGTCTGTGTGTTCTTTGCTCTGCTGTCTCGTCTCATAAATTGAAGAAAATATGCGCCAGTCAGGTAGTGGCGGAGAAAAAGTGTTTTTTATTAGTTCTATGGCATCGCTGAATGTGGTCACGGTGTTTTTTACCCCTATCCACCAATTAGCAGCGTAATCCTCCAATAGCAGCTGCAACCCTTTTACGGCGTCGGCGTCAGAGATCGATTCAATTTCCTTGTAAACTGAAATTGCCGTTACAAACTCCTCAACTACGGCGGCATCTCTCTGCCCCCGAAAACGCGAAGTACAATGCGAGAACGAACCCGTCCGGTTGTTGTTCTGCATTGCCCGGATCATTTGATTGAATTGGCTGTCTGTAAACTGTGCCATCTCTGCTTCTTCGCCTGACACGTATTCGTCACTATCTGCTTTGGTAGTTTCCGTGAATTTAATCTTTATGTCGTTGTTCGTGGCCACTTCGTTGGGCGTCAATGAAACAGCTCGTGAGCGGAGCTGATATGGCTTCATACGAAACAACAATATTAACTTTTTACTCCTTCCTTATTTGGGAATTTCTTTGAGCTTATGATCTATTCCATCAACTTGGGCAAGCGTGGGTAGTGATCTTAAGCCTTCAGTGTTCGCTAAAGGAATCAGAGTGACTTTATTGAAATTTGGGTTTGCTTAAGTACTACATTTGAGAAGCGAGATTCTAATCTAGTATTGGTCGTATAATAATGTAGTGATATCAGTGATGTAGTTTTTGGTACTATTTACAAAATATTTACATAGTTAACCGTTAATTTCAAATGTTTAAAACAGAGTTGCATTTAAATATGTAAAGCATAAATAAACGTGTTTACGCTATAAAAATAAAATACATAAATGGAATTCAGATAAAAATAAATAAACTAATTCAAAATAGAGTTGATACGTTTCACGTTTAATATTTGTAGCATATAACGTTCTATTATGATTGGAAGATGGTATTGTGGCACTCAGTAGAATTCAGAGCACGTTTACAACCGGCCTTATCACTCGTCGTGAGGGGTGAGTTCAGTACTACTGGGCTCCTTTTCCAGCTACACATACATTATTTTAATTTTACGTGCTCCTTGAATATCATTAGGATATTGCGATATGGATAGAAAG